TGATGGGGGGGTGGTGGCTCTGTTTGTGGGGCTGGGGCGAGGTCCCCCATGCCCTCTGCTCCCTGCTTTGCCTGCAGCTCCTGGGAAGGCAGGAGGAGCAGGAGGATGAGTCTCATCCCTGCAGATTTGTGGTAGAGCTGGGCCAAGCAGAGGAGGGTCTCTGGTCGTGCCCTGCTCTCTGGGGGGTGCTTGCAGCCCCCTCTCCAGTGCCGTTAACCCTTCCCTGGCAGCGGTGCTGGCACATCCAGGGTCCCCAACAGGGACCCCGGGTTAAAGGGAGGGCTGTGCTCTATTGAGGCCCCTTCGAGCTCAAGATGAGCAAGCGAGCCATGCCCTTGAAACCATAGCAGGGCAGATACTGCTGCCGTAGACAGCATCCCTGAGGGGCTGGCGTGAGCCCTGCCCTCCCGGGACCACCCGACTTGGCCGGTTTGTGCTTCTCTCCTGCCGCAGGACTACTTGGTGCGGCAGCTGACGAGGTACCAGAGGAGGGGTCCGGGGACGCAGGACAACATCTGCAACGAGCGGTTCTCCCGGGATCAGCTGCTCCCCAGGGCATCGGGTTCAGTGGCTCCCAGTGCTCCGGGACTGGAGGTACGTGAGCGTATCCCTCTGCTCCGTCGTGCCTGGCTGAGGTCTGATGCTTTCCTCTGCCTTCCCCAAGCGGATCAGCTCGAGGGGGGCTTCCAGGGTTGGGCCACGGTTTCTGCGTGGGGCCGGTGAGGGTTCCCTTGTCCTTGTTCAGGGTTCAGGACTGCAAAATCTGCTTGTTGCAGTCCGCTGCCCGAGTCCTCTGCAGATTTAATGCTGATGCTGAGCAAGCAGACAGCTTTTTCTCTCCCTGGCCGGTACTCACAAGGCAGCTCTCCCCTGCTCGTGACCTGCTGTCAGCTCAAAGCTAGGAAACGATGGATGGCCTGGGGGTGTGTGGCGATTTCTTGCCCCAGCAGCCCCCACAGAAAGGGACAGGGTCTCCAACCCCCCCATTAATGGGGCTTGGGGACAGTGTTTGTGCCCAAGGGTGGGTTTGGTGGATGCTATAGGACATTATCTTTCCAGGTGGTGGTGCCAGGGACCTTCTCTCCCAGTGTGAAACCCAGGAGGAAACTGGTTCCAGTGCAAGGAAAAGACCCTGTTATCCGTGAGTGTTGGGATGCAGGGGATATGCTGGGGGGCAGGGAGGGGGTGAGCCTGCGGGATGAGTTTTCTTGGCAAAATCCTTTCTGACCCAGCTGTCTGTGCTCTACCCTGTTCTCTGAGCTTTTCCCTTCCCCACCCTTTTTTGACATCTTTGCCCAAGACGTGCCCTGCAAGGACTGGAAGAGATACGGCCGAGCCCTCGGTCTGATGGAGAACGACATTGCCCTTGCGGAGATGAATGACAGGTATTCGCTGGAGCCCTTCTTCCAGATGCTCAACACGTGGCAGAACAGAGAAGGGATGGACGCCTCCGTCAACACGCTGCTGGAGGCCCTGCACGAGATCAACCTCGGAGGGATTGCAGAGGACATCTCCTCCAAGCTGGTGCAGCAGGGATCTTTCCAATACGAAGCGAGCTGAAGAGCAGGGCAGGCCCTGCATCTCCCTACTTTAAGGGGAAGTTATGAATACCTCTAAGGACACTTGAATTTTATCTTTTTATAGCTCTCCTGTGGCTCTTCTCTTTTTGAAGCCATTGTACAGTTCAACTGAGCCCGGAGGAGTTGATCCTCTCATGAAGTACAAACCTCGCGGTCTTCTCTGCTGAAGCTACGGGCTCGATTTCGGTGCTTCCTTATGAAATCCAAGCTGGTGCCTTGATTTCACTGGGTCAATGCAAAGAGCCTAAAACTACTGCAAGCTGCCTCTGGGACTGTCTCGCTTGGAAGCGCTTGGTACTATACGGACGTCTTCAGGATGAGTGCAGAGAAGGGCCTTTGCAGGTTGTAGGCATCCCTGTGGTTTTTAACTGGATCGTCCTTTTTTGGGGGATTCCTGGCATCAGGCAATGGCTTCTGCTTGTAGAACCTCTCTAAGCTGGCCAGCAAGCTGAATACTGTACGCTCGGTGGGCAAGCATTAACTGGGTTCTTGGGTTACTTTCTCAAAGCTGTTGGCTGAATTGCGTTTTAGATCATAGTGGTTCTGTGTCCTGTTAAGAATCAGTTTGAAACTGGACTTAGAGGAGAAGGGGGGGATGATTTACTTGCTCTGCGGTCGCTGGGCTTGCCTAAGAAAAGGGTCGGTGCAGGGGGCGAGGGAGCAGGATGGGGAATGTGGCAGCAAACTATCGGTCTGCCAGAAACCTCCTTCTCCGTGACCTCGGTCGAGTGGGTTTGTTCCCGTTCCCTTGGCCGTGGGGTGGCTTTGCTGTCCCTCTCTGTCTCCAGCCAGCATGGAAAGGTTGAATGCACTGAGATCCGAGCGTGACCGTGGGTACCTGCCGTCCGTCCTCCAGCTGGATGGGTTGCTCCTCAAACACTTTACCCCTTGCTCTGGCTCTCACACCTAGCTCAGGGACAACTTGGCTGGAAAAACTACTGCATTACTTGAGCTGGCTACATGTCCTGCCACCCCGGTACAGCCCAGCCCACCGGCACCTTCCCCAGCGCGGTGGTTTTTTTTCCAGCCCCTCTCCGCACCCAGGGCTGCAAAGCACCCATCCCTCCCGCTGCCACCTCTTCTCCTCCCTCCTCACCAACACTTAAAAAAATTCTGTTTGTAAAACACAAGCAGAAAGTTTGTATTTATGTATTTATTTAGTAAACGTTTACATATTTTAACTTAAAAGCTAATATAAAAATATTACTGGTTTTTTTTACTATGCATGAGTGTGTGTTTATACAGAGCTCTGGCCCAGCCAGTTTGCTATTTCCAATTTTTACATGTCTCTTTATGAAGGAAGAATAAACTTTTAAAAAATCCTCCTGATTTCTGATTTTTTCTTTTTTTTTTTTTTTTTTTCCCCACCCCTTGCTCTGCCATAACGCCGGCGACGGTCTTTTCTAGGTTTCAGTGGGCACCAAAGGAGCTGGACCAGATGCTCAGCAGCTGCTCCGCCTGGCACTGAGGACCCAGCCCACGGCGTTAGCGCTCTGCCACGCCGGCATCCTGCCGGCAACGGTCCCCGCCAGCGATGCTTCTGCCAGGGAAAATCCTCAGCAACAAACCTGGGCTCTGCCTTCACACCTACGCCGTGAGTCCCACGCTCTTTAGTCGCCTGCAAAAGTAGGAGGCTGAAATCGCGGTCTCTCGAGCGTGCAGGGGCTGGGACCCTGGGGCCGAGTGATGCTCTTGACCCCCCTAACGGAGCTGCTGCTGTCGGGGGGCTGCGATGCTCCCCGCTCCGGCTCCCCCCAGCCAGGGCTCTGTGTGTTGCAATAGCTGTGTTGCAAATCCATGCAGTGCTTAGTGAGAAAAGGGCTCTGCTCGCCCCCAAAAAGCTCCCTCCGGCTGCCTGCCAGCCTTCGCTCTTCGCTTTATCGATAACGCGGGGCTGGGGGCAAGTGCTAAAAGCAGGAGCTTTCGGTGAACTGCCAGGAGGCTTCGTGCTTGAGGTCCTCTCCCGAGCAATCCCTGCGTGCCTCCCAAGCGTGCAAACCCGGGCAGGGAGCTCCTGCGGAGCCAGGCACATGCAGGATTTAGTGCCGGGACACAGGGGCTTGAGTCCTGGCCTGGGGAAGGCAAAGAAGAGTCGGAAGCAGCGGCGGGCACCCAGATTCGAAAGGAAAAGAAACTTGTCGTCCTACCTGCTCGCTGGTGCTGCAAAGTGTGAAAACACCGAGTGTAAGCTCGCTGGAGCTGCAACCTTGCTCCTGCATCCACGGCTGAGGATGAACATGCGAAATGAGTGATTCCAGGATGCTCTACCGAGGCCAGCCGGGAAGAAGAGCAATGGGGACCGGGAATGGACACCGCCGGGAGCATCCCTGCCAGGAGCATCCCTGCTGGGAGCATCCCTCCATGCTCGCTCCAGCAGCAGCCTCTGCCACGGATGGGCTCAAAGGAGCTTTCCCCTTCCCAGCTAGGGAGGGTGAGCGGAGGTTTGGGTCCCTCCTGCTCACCTGCCCTGCCTGGCTGTCCTGCAAAAGCCACGCTGCCTTCTCCTGCCCGTACCCGCTGTGGTTGTATGCCTACAAGGACACAGGTGGGACAGGCAAAGTTAGTCCGACGGTAAAGCCACCGCTCGTTGTACAAGGATTTTTTTGATGGCTGGATGCTGCAACGCTTCTCCACTGTCCCTGTCCATCCTGGGAGCGCTGGTCGGGGGGGTGCTGGTGTCACCCCAAGCAGGGGACAAGGATGCCCCGGTGTCCAGCTCCTTCCTCCCAAACACACAGGGACCACGCTGGACCTTTAAAATACCATTTATTACAATGGAGCCTTCCAGGCTAAAATCCCAAGCCAAGAGCCTGGGGTTGGTTTCTGGTGTGGCACGTTGGGGGTGGTGGGGGGAAAAGATGTGTTTGGGGCTGGGTTTTGTTTGTGTTTTTTTTTTTGCTTTAAGTCTTCTT